ACTCATGTACCATTCTTTTAATTTATCCTTCTAGTATTTAGGATAACGATGGGGTGGACACTAATAACTAATAGGTTCTTGATTATTTTTCAAGGGAATGTGACGGTCTTGTGGTGGAGAAGGTAGAAGCCATTGATTCTTATTAAAAATCTCGGCAAATTGTTCAAGTAAGCTATCCAAGTTTGGCCTCTTAGTGCTGGGTGTGAAGGGTTGCAGAGAGGCATCAATGTTGAAGTTTACTGTTGTCCAATGGTTCCTAGCAGGTTCGACGCAATCCTTTCAACTGGTATTGTTGTCCATATTGTATTAAAACCATCAGAAATTTCTTAGGGTATGTTTGGTGTATAGTATTGGATAAGGCATGATAGTATAAGACTTGATTAAATTTTAATATTATCCAGTATTTGGTATGGTATTGTATAAGATAATATTCTCCAATATTTTAAGAAATTATATATTAAAAAAATTATTTTAATATATTAATATTGAAATGATATATTAGTTCTTGAAAATTGTACTTGTAAGCAATATTAATACATCAACCCCTTATCAGGCCTAATCCCACACCCTTAGGCCTGATTAAGTTATACATCATTTTGATGTATTAAGGAGTTCTGCTGTATAAGCTTATACTATACGATGGTCACACCAAACAACTTAAAATATCATAACATATAGTATATAAGCTTATACTATCAAGTCTTATACATCACACCAAACAGGCCCTTATAGTCCATCTTAATTGGTCCCAAGGTATGAAGTCACTGTACATCCAAAACTAATTTATGTGGTTCTGAATCTTGAGTGTGAGATTTAGACACTGCCTCAAACACTTGAATTTTTCACAATTTCTTACCATCACCTAAATGTTTCATTCTTTTTATTTTGATTTGGTCTCCTATATCTTGGACTTCACTACCAAACTATGCGTTAGATAAATGGGCTTTTCCCCCAATTTTCGTGGGGATGATATCAATTGATATGAAGAATTTATGTTTAATAAACAAAATAGAGAAATAGAGGAGAAATAAAGAAGAATATGAATAGAAAGATACTGGTTATTAATTTTCATAACCTTTTATAATTACATCCCCATTGAAGTAACTGAATATCACAGAAAGAACACTTGTGTAAACATATTACCCGCCACTTTTCTAAATTTATCACTAGTTAACCAACTTAGCAAAAAAGAACTTAAAAGTGCAAAATTAACATTTCAGATAATAATTAAATATAGGAAAAAAAATTCTATTTTTATGGTAGAATTTTTTTTCTGCCACACTCATAAAAATAATTGAAATTCATTGAGTATTGAGAACTTTTTTCTAAAACAAAAGTAGAAACATTAAAGACTTGTTTGGTGTGACATATAAGGCATGATAGTATAAACTTATATTATACGTTATGACATTTTCAGTTGTTTGGTATGACCATCGTATAGTATAAGCTTATACAACATAATCTCATAATACATCAAAATGATGTATAACTTAATCTGGCCTAAGGGTGAGGGATAAGGGATGATAAAAGATCGATGTATTAACATCGTTGACCAATGTAATTCTCAAAAATTAATATATTATGTTTATATTAATCTATTAAAATAAAAAATTATTTTTCAATATATTAATTTTTAAAATATTGAATATTTTTATTTTTATAAAAATTAATCTATATTTTGGATACACTGATCAATAAAATTTTATAATATCATATGACATTTTTTGAAGAATTATATAAATTCTTTATTAAAGGATATTTTTATTAAAAATATTTACTTTTATCATATATAGTATTATACAGTGCATTACCAAATACTATATGACATTATCTTATACAATATATTATTTTATACAATATCGTGTCAAACGCTAGATAGTATTAAAATTCAATTAGACTTTATACTATCAGATCTTATACTATCAGACCTTATCCTATACTATGCACCAAACTCGTAAATATATCAATTACACATGGTATGACATGGGCTTTTTGACCCTTTTGCCCCTCATTAATTAATTAATAACCAATTTGCCCCTCTCCCAGAACTATCCACCATCCTGCCCACATTTAGTGAATCAACTTGCACTTTTAATCGACTAAATGATCAAAATTCAGAAAACATGAATCACGAATTTTAATCGACTACATCCTCATCTTGATTGACTACATTTCGAGCACTTTTAATCGACTAAGGACATTATTTAGTCGATTAAAAGTCGCAGATCCGATTTTTAAAAACCCCCCCATTTCGCAAAGGGGATAATTTTCAAACCCTAGTCGATTAAGAAGGCTCCAAGAACACCTCTCTTCAACCAAGTCCGAATCTCATCCCCTTGAAGGTCCGATTGCACCATCATTGGTTCACAACTTGCGAAATTGACATTATAGGTAACGTTTTCTGACTTGCATTTGGTTTTAAGTTTTGGTTTTTTTTGTTTTCTCCATGCTTTGGTTTCTGTTTTTTTTTTAATTTCTTGTTTATGGTAGAAGGTTGTTTGAGTTTTTGTGGCTTTATGTTAGGAGTAGGGTGTTGAGTTTGATGTGAGGGTTAGGGCTAGGGTTTATGTGTTAGGTTAGGGCTAGGGCTATGGTTAGGGTTAGGGCTAGGGTTAGGGTTTAGGCTTAGGGGTTTTGTTTGTATGTTAGGGTTTAGGGGGTGTGTTGGCTGTTTTATTTTAGGGTTGGGGTTAGGGTTTAGGCTTAGGGGTTTTGTTTGTATGTTAGGGTTTAGGGGGTGTGTTGGCTGTTTTATTTTAGGGTTGAGGTTAGGGTTAGGGTTACTGTTTTTATGTTTAGGGTATATGGTTTGTTTTCTGTTTTATTTTAGGGTTAGGTTAGGGTTTTGATTTTTATATTGAATTGTGAATTTTTTTGATATTGTTATTGTCCATTGATATTGGTTCCACTTGCATTGTAGGTACCGTTGTTCCCATGGCTGGCCGTAGAAGATCGGATAACGTGGAACATGAGAGACGCACGAAGCTACGACAAGACCGGCCGTCTTCGTCAAGGCCACAAGACGAAGAGCCTGCTCCTGTCTACCTCCCATTCGGATACTTGTTCGAGCATAACCCCTTGGTTCATGATGCATTTGTCCGTGACCATGCTAACCGACCCATATGTCTGGCCAAATCACTTGATACAACATTTTTTGTAGCGGAAGGTTTTAACATTGTGAGCTGGTTGGAGGGAGCACATCTTAGGGTTTTGGCTAAACTGTTGTGTCCATATTCAGAGCTACACGTACGGGCCTTCTACCATAACCTCAGCTACGTACAGGGTGAGCTGAGGTCGAGGGTCTGCGGGGTGGAGATCATCATGACGACTCCTGTATGGTTGGAGTTACTGGGGTATGACTTTGATTCTGCGCAGACTGTGGAATATGACGCAGATAGCAGCGTCACACTTCCAGGATATACACGAGGTGAGGATGTTGCAGGGCAGGGGCTGATGTGTCAGATGAGGATGACGAGGAGACGACGTCTGAGGAGGAGGAGGATTAGATTTAGGGTTTATGTTTTTATTTTACGTTTGTAGTGTATGTTGTTATGTAATTGACTTTGGTCTTCCTATTTGACATTTGTAGTTTATGTGGTATTATGTTTAGGGGCTGAACTATTTAATGTTATCAACTTTGTACTTATTACTTATTTATGTCATTTTCATTGTTTACCACATGAAGGATCATGGTATTTTTCCATGAAATTTTTCAATTTGGATCTAATCACAGCCCAACAGGTCTAAAATGTCTAATGCAACTTAGAACAGTCACTCATAAGAGAGTTAAATGACTTTACCAAGTTTCGGGTACCTAAACCAACATTTAGCCAATACATGTACATATATGGTTTATAACTGCCACAATACTTTTTTTGTACCCCAAATTATGTTCCCCAAGTCATAATATGCGTGTACATTAGTGTACAATCGGTTCCATGCCAAAAAATTTCGAGGAAAACAGAATGGGGTGCCAAAACCTGTTATGTAGTCGATCAACCTGTATTCGCATGTTATTTTGGAAAGAATTTAAACTAAATTCGCACATTATTTTATAAAATTAATTCGTATGTCATTGTATTTTTAAATTTTTTATCAGAATTTTTTTTTTTTGCAGTTAGTGCAGATAAGTTATCTGTATTTACTTCCAAAACAATATCGTTTTGGAATTAAGAGATTAAAAAATTATTATTATAAAGACTATAATAATTCTGAAATAAATTAAAATTAGAAAAACACCATGATTTCTACCCAAAACGATGTCATATTGATTTACTGCAGATACCTCATCTGCAGTAACTGCAGGAAAAGAGAACCCTTTATATAAAGGGAAAAATATTTCTGCAGTTAATGCAGATAAGTTATCTGCATTTATTCCCAAAATGACGTCGTTTTGATATTGAAATCATAAAAAATTATAAATATAAAGACTATTATAACCCTAAAAAAAATTAAAATTACAAAAACACGATGATTTTCGCCTCAGAACAACGTCGTATTGGATTTACTGCAGATAACAGTAACTGCAAAAAAAACGAACTCTTATATAAATCTATATAATTTAAATGTTATAAATAGGTAATTATAGTTAGGTTCCTAGAAGGACTCGATTGAAATGGGCTTTGTAACTGTAAGGAGATATTTATAATTTTTAAATTATATTGTCACCGTGTCATAAATTTCATATGGTCTTACTAAGCATATTTTGTCATCGTGTCATCATTTCATTCAAAGTATTTCTTAATTTTTTACAAAATTAGGAATTATCTGAAGCAAAGTTTTTGTTTTGACAAAAATAAAATAAAATCAACCAACCATGTTTATGATGTTGTCTTTTAAAATTTATATTTTAAACAAAATTCATTAAATAGATTTTCTTCATTTCTTGACTTCGATATTCCTATTTTATGAAACAATTTCTTATAATGAAAATTTTTAAAAGCAAGAAAACGAAAGTAGAATTAAATGCTTTATTTTATTTGTGTGATTTGTGATTTGGGTGGGTGTAGTGTGGATAGGTGGCAGCTGCGACACAGTCCTATGTTGTGAGTGTGTCTCTTCTTCTCTCAGCTGCGCTCTGTTTCTTCCACAACATCCTTTTTTTTTCTTTCTCTCCCAATTCCAACCACAACAACAACAACAATTCAATTCAAGCCTCTACTAATTCCAGATTTCAACGCTTTCCCTTCTCGAAAGGTTATTTTTTCTCCTCCTTTTGCCTTTTTTTTTTTTTTTTTTGGGGTGCTCTGAAACTGACCTTAACAATAACCTCCCATTCCCAATTTCGAATCTTTTTTGGGGTTGTTGTTTCTGGGGCTTTTTTTTCTTTTAATTTATCTCCCACAAACTTGTCTCAAGCAAAAATTGGTTTGAAAAAAAAGAAAGAGAGGATTTTTATTTTAATTATATGGTAGGTCCTTCGTGTTCATCCCCTTTTAAATTATCTTTTTTGGGTTTTTAATTTCTGTGGTTGTTTGAATCGGATAGGTGATTAAAAAGAATAAAAGTTTTGTACTTGTTGGGCTTATTCTGACTTCTTTGTTTATGTTTGTGGATGGTTATGCTTATGAACATTTTATCTTGAACTTGGTGGTATTGGATTAAGAATTGACACGTTAGAAATAGATGCCAAGTGTGAATTTTGTCACTGTTTTTGATTGCAAATTTATAATTGTCAGTTTGTTAAATCGGTTAATATTGATTATGGGTCTGCATGTTTAAAATAAGACGTGCCGTTCTCTCTTTCTCTAGTTTTGGGAGAGAAGTGAATGGATCCTTTATGTCACCTGACCTCATGTGAAGATGATCTTAACCGTCTATAGATAAATCAATGCTGATGAGAGACTAGAGTGAGATACAGTGTGAGGAAGTATAACGGCAATGATGATCTCATATGTGGTTATGGGACATGAGAGAATCTATTTCCATTGGTATTCAATTTTGCACTGATTTTTTTTTATTAGGTTAAAACTCATTATGAGGAATAAATGTCAATTTTTATTTTGAATGTGACCAGTTTTCCTTTACTTGCTTTGTTGGATTGATACATTTTTTGTGATTTATTTTTAATAATTTTTAGCATATCTTAAATGGATCAATGGTTTAAATTTGATCCATCCTTTATAGTCCAATCCAAAATCCGTATGATCGATCCGATTGTTATCCCTAATGGCAAGAGTCCATCTACTCGTGATCTATAGATTATGACTTGCTATACTCAACACTACCATAGCTGCTGTAATAGTTGCTACATTAAATGTCTGATTACCCGAGCATGCTAAACTAGCATACAAACTTGTTGCAAGGTTCCTTTAGCTTATGTTCCTTTCTTGATATTGTTGTTCTGAACTTAAGTTGTTGTTTTTTTAATCTATATTCCTTCTACTTATGCTTAGAGAGCTAACAAATATCTATAACAATTATAGCAACTTGGTGACTTTGTTGATTAGCATCAATTTTTTTTATATCGTTAAGTGTTTGTCCGGCTCTATCCCTCATTTGTGAGCTCCATTCGGACTTGGATATTAGTTTTTGTCTCTCATTTTTATTTTCTGGTTGTATGGACATACTTACATAGTACTTACAAATGATAACAGTTTTTTCATTTGACGAAATTATAATTACATAGACTATTAGCTTCTGTTAATTTTCTTCATTTCTTTTTCCTGGACTCTGTTTTTTCTGCATAGTTTACTGCTATACTCTTGAATTCTGTTAACTTTTTCTGCTTCCAGATTTGGACACTGTGTTGCATGTGGATCAAGAAATCATGACTTCTTCTACTCATGAACTCACAGGTATCTACGTTAAAAAAAAAAAAACCTCCTTTTTCCAATTTAATTTTTATGCCACCTTTTTTGTTGGTAAGAAGCGGATTACATTCATTTCCTGATAGTGAACAGTTTATGGAAAAAACTCTTTTTGCATTTTTTTGTCTAATGTGGTCATTATTGGAAGAAAATTTATTAAACATAAATTAGCAATTTGACATGGATTCTGGATGAACTAGTTGTGCTAATACTAAGGTGTTCCCTATATGGGTATTGAACTACAATAATAATAATGAGCAAAAGATGGAGATCACCAAAATCAGGATATTGTGTGATTGATGTATGGACAAACACAATGGATTAGAGTAGGAAATGAGATCATTATGGAGAAGATGAAATGGAAAACCACTTAAGATGGCTTGGGAATGTAAGATGATGACCTACATAGGCCCTGGTAATTGTGAATTTAGTGAAGTTGCCCCTTTAAAAATAGGAACAAAAAGACATGGTGGGAGGCTATTAAGAAAGATGTAGTGTACACAGAGAGACCCACATATTGTTTTATTTCAAAACTTAATCCTCTTATTTTACCTTAACTTCAAAACTTATTTATTCCAATTTTAGCAAGTCCCGTGTTTGCTTATCTGGTATCCGTTTTAATCTTAAAATAATTTGTGCAACAGTTGCCTTTGACTTTCAGTGATTTTTGAAAAAAGTCATTAGTTTAAGACTATAGGAGTTTGACGGAACTTACTCCTTTTCTGTAGCAGAGGAAGTTATCTTTTAAGCCAAAGTTGTGTGCATTAGTCATATACCTCCCCCCCCCCCAACAAAAAAAAAAAAAAGAATAACAAAGACTTCACTTCATTCCAAAAGAAAATAAAAATTAGTAAATTACAAAAAAATAAAATAAGAAAGGAATTAAATTATAAAAGCCAATTTTATGTAGTACTTGAGAGATTTGGGCAGAAAATTCCATTCAAAGAGTATCTCTTTTCTCTCTCAGTTTCTTTCAAACTGATTATATACAGCAACCTCTGTTTCTTTTAAAACATACAAACTATACATAAATCTGGAGCTTTTGTGTTCCTAGTGGAATAGATACTTCTGCATTCTGGTTGTTGTACCTGCAGAGTAAAAATGTCATCCCTTGCTTAGCTTCTTGGCCCTTTATTCACTAGATTGACTTTTCAGTTTTTATCTTATTAATTTTTTATTGAGCTTCTTTGCCATGCTATCTGAAGTTTTGTGTTTTTCATAAACTGATGCATCTTACTAGTCCTACTCCTAATTCCTATCCCTCTGGCCTCAAAAAAATGCAAAAAAATAATATCTGAAGCCTGAAGTTATTTAACAAATTGTTGTCCAGATAATGAAGCTGATGGGCAGCAGCAGTCAGAATCACAGATGCAGGAGCCTTTATCTGCAAATGGAATTTCTCAAGCAGGTATCGGTACTCAGAATATTCAGTATGCAACACCTCCACAGCTTGGAACTGGGCATGCTATGGTATGAACTTAACATTTCAACGGGCTTTATTTACATTTTGTCTTAAAAAAGTATAAAACAAAATATGTTTCTTCAGTGGTTTGCCATCCTCAGTGCTCTCATTGGAGCTGGCATCTTAGTAACTAATTACAACAACAACGTTACCTTTATCCCAAATTAGTTGGGGTCGGCAGTCAGATGATATACATTATCTTAGTTATTAATTAATTCAAGAAATCCTTAAGAATGTTTTGCTTTTCTATAGGTAATAGTCATTCGATGCTATTTCACATGGCTTACCTGTTGTAGTTATAAGAGATATACATACATAGTGGTTATTTTGTTTTGTCATTGAAGAAGATCGGTTCTGAATATTATCTAATATCTAGTCATGACTTGTAATTTCTGAATGAGTTAGCTCTTAGCACTCCTTGTCTGAACTGTGAAAGAGGGACTTTTGCCATGTGTCTTAACAAATTACAATGAATTTTTTTTTTAAATTATTATATGAAAGGAATACCTTACACTGGAATTTTCTTGAAATTATTAAAAACTACTTTTTTTTTTATCAGCACTTAATTTAGTCTGGGATAGTTTTAAGACTTCTGATCTGACAAATAATGATCAATTGCATTGCAATCTGTAGTTTTGCTGTGTAAATTAAGTTACCTTAGACGCTATGTTTGGTGATTTGAGGTTGATTTCTTGAAGTAACCAGAGTTTTTTGACCTGGCGATTGAAGGTTAATGAATGATTGCCTGAGCAAGTACTGGTGCCAGTTGTTATCTTGATGTGATATCAAAGAAGTAAGAAGTGGCTGCTCAGACTTGGTCAGGCAATTGAATTACTTTTGCGCCCCCCTCCTCTGAACATTTGATCTTGTTGCTACATTGCTGTTGGTTTTTCAGTCCCATCGGAGTTTAGAATTTAAACTTTGTTTGCACTTTACTAATTTCTGTTGCTTTCTTATCTAATTGAAGGCACCAGCTGCTTATCCATATCCAGATCCGTACTATGGAAGCATCTTTGCTCCCTATGATGCACAACCTTATCCCCCACAACACTATGGTGGACATCCAATGGTTCATTCTAATTTTTTGATGTTGATGTTTGTGATATTGTGGCTTCTTGTCTGAACCTTTTTTCTGACCCTCATATTATTGAACCATATCCTATGCCAGGTCCATCTTCAATTAATGGGAATTCAACAAGCAGGTGTTCCTTTGCCAACTGATGCAGTTGAGGAGCCTGTGTTTGTCAATGCAAAACAGTATCATGGTATATTAAGACGAAGGCAGTCCCGTGCGAAAGCTGAATCAGAAAAAAAAGCTACAAGGAATCGGAAGGTATATCATTATCCCTATCCTTTCTCATGGTTCTTTTTAATGATGCCAAAAGTTGATTAAGAAGAAAATAATAATTAAAAAAGGGCAGCCTAGTGCTTATAAAGTTCCACTATGCGTAGGGTTCAGGGAAGGATCAAAACCATTGTGTGAGTCTATAGTAAGCTCCATTTGTATTTTGCAAGAAGCTGATTATATGAATCAAATCTGTGACCTCCACACAGCGACAACATCAACCGTTGTGCTAAGCTTCTTAAAAAATAAGTTATTAAAAAGAGGAAAATGAAGGGAAGAAGCTTCCTGAAAGTTTGTGTTGTCAGCTGCTAGCTTCTTGATGTTGATGTTGATTTTGTTTGCCTCCATAGATTTATTTGACTCACATGCTCCCATGAATCTTCTATGGATGTACTTACCCGATCTTTGAACAAATATTTCAGCCATACTTGCATGAATCTCGACATTTGCATGCATTGAGAAGAGCAAGGGGATGTGGAGGTCGTTTTCTGAATTCAAAGAATAATGAGAATCAACAGAACGAGGTTTCATCAACTGAAAACTCACAGTCCAATATCAATCTCAATTCTGATAAAAATGATCTTGCACCATCAGATAGAACATCCTAAAACTAGAGAAATGTTGATGCCACAGACTGCCGAGATGTGTTGTATGTCTATATCATGAGACCAGTCTCCAACCAACAACAGCCTCAGATATCTTGCCATTGTTTCATTCTGGCAATGTACAACCCCATGGATGTGGGTCTATATGTAGGTTTTGTGTAGTAGTTCTATTAGGGAGGTTGCAAGACAAAACAAGTAAAATGTAAATTGAAGTGATTCAATCAAGTAGTATCCCAATGTGATCCTTTCTAGCCTTTGTAGGTGAGATTTTTATTGTGTGGGCATTTCTTTGTACTATTTAGTATTATAGAAAGATTAGAGATTATCCAAACCTAGGATAGTTTGGTTGCATTATGTTTATTTAGCTTGTGAGAGAGATTAGCAGTTGTACTTATCTTTTGTTCTGTTGTTAGTGAAGAGGATGATAAGTTCAAATAGTTTAATAAAACCAGGATTGGTGAAGTTTGGTACAACAGCAGATAAAAAGAAAAAAGGTTTACATTTGTTGTCTAGATTGAATTATAAATTGATCTTTATTTATATTTTGGCAGTGAACCAACTGGTCAAGAGCCCAAGAGGTTTAAATGTTGATATCTATGTTTTGATTTATTTATAGATAAGTGGGGGAGGGTTCAATTTGATCTGGCGCGTGGTTATTTTTAGAGGTGACAAAGTGGACGGGGTTCTGTTATTATGTCAAAAAACGAGCCGACTCTCCCTACCTTGCCCTGCCCTTAAAAGTTGGCTAAAAAGCCTGGCCCGTCCTGCCCCGTTTGGCAGGTGGGGTGGGTTGGTCCGCCAGTCCGAATTTATTTTACACTGATTCGTCTTGACCTGCTTCTCCCTGTTATCAACCCGTTAAAAAATAAGCTCGTCCCGTTTTTGAGAGTGGATTGTATAAACACAACAGGGCGAGTTGGTCCGCCGAACTGAGTTCATTTTGCTGGCTGTTTCTTTGTTGGATCATGTATGTGAAGAGAGAGGAAGCAAGTCCAGAAAACCCAGAGAGGTTTTACTTTGGGGCATTGACCTAATAAATGATAAACTCTTTCAGCATATTGGTTGCAAAGTTCACAAGTTGGGCTTGTTTATACTACATGCCCCAATGGAGTTGTTGGTATGTTGTCTCAAGCTTATATTTGCCAAGAAATGTGTAAGCTTCTCTAATAAATGAAAAACTATCTGGAGTTCATGACGATCTTTTATAAAAAAGAAATTGTACGCTAATGTTAGAAATTGTACGCTAATGTTATATGAGATTTATTTTTCATGTTATACTCACATAAAAAGATATATATATATTTTTAAAAAAATTAGTATATTTCACTTTGTTTGTCTCATATCCTATTATATGAGAGAAATAAATTCATTTATAAAAAGTTGGTATATAATACGTGACCCAAAATTCATGGATTTTAGATTCGAGAATAATTTAGATGATGGTTTGAGCAGGGAAGTAACAGATAATTGACCTTTGAATTGAGATGAGCAATAAAAGGGTGAAAATAAACACACGTACTGACCAGACCATGACCAAACAAAACTTTAAAGAATTTCCATCCTTTACGTTATCCTTCCTACACTACTAGTCTACCAAACATAAAGCAAATTCTCTACTTTGTTCCAATGTGACAGTGACACATCCGAGAAATCCAAACCGAAAACTTCAATAATGTTGGCCATTACATCTTACATTATACAATCTCTTTGCTTTATTTCTACACTGCACAAGTAAAGCGTAGAAGAAAGGATCGAGGCGTATAAATTATCGAAGTAAATTTTGTCTCTACTAACAAAGTTTTTTTTATACGGCCAAGATTTTTTTATTTTTTATTTAGTGAATTGTTTGTAACATAAAAATTAACAAGAAATGCACTCGCCATAAAAGTTGCCATTATTGTAGGCTGCAATGAAAAGTTTAGCATGTTAGTATTCTTATAGAAATGGCATTAAAATTGACTTCTTAAGCATTTATTAATAGTTAAATTCATAATAAATTTTCTTATGAATATTAATAATAAATAGTAAAATATTTAAAAGATTATTTAGGGTATCAAACCAAGGAAAAAAATCAGAATAATATTTTTTTTCCTAAAAAACTTTCTTAGTAGTCCCTAATGGAATAGACATAAAATACGAGTTATTTAATTCTTAAGGTTAACACAATTGGTAAGTGAGTTGTGTTTAAGAAGCAGATTGTGCGGTCTATAAGGTCTTTAGTTCTGTTCTTAGGCAAAGCAGTGACAAATTTTTTATGCTTTATGTCACGATAGAGATTAATCTCATCTAAATAAGCAGGAATTGCCCCAGAAAAAAAAAATTAGAGTTATTTTAATTTCCTGAAAATTATACTTTCTGCCGCTAGGATGAGGGTAGATACGAGAAAAGAAAAAAGTGTGGGGCCAAAAAAATTCTTGGCTCATGTGCGGAGAAAATGAACAGAAATGGCGGCGGAGTGAAAAGCAATGAAAGTCAGCCACCTTATACTAAAATTTCAATATCGCATTCTAAAAAAATAATTTTAATCTTTTTTTCATCATTTTCTCTTTGTATAACCACTTAAGGGTTACATAATTTAGTAAAATATTTTTTATTTTTATTAATAATTACGAAAAACCCTATTTTATTTTTCCTAGAAATATGTTTAAATTTAAAAATAAAATCAAAACGCAATATTTTCAGCATTATTAATTAAAATAAAAATTGCGGTAAAATTTTTATTTATACTTTTCTATCTTGCTGTTTTCTTTCCCTCACTCTTCTGTTTTCTCAATTTAAATAAAGTTGTATTATTTAAAATGATAAATATTTTTCCCAAATTTTTAGTATGAATATAAAGTCTTTTGAATACAAAAATCTCAACAAAAAATAGAACCAAAACATATCATATTTTGTTCAAAACAGTTTTTACGACAGAGGGGGAGTTTGCAAAAAAATAAAGCATTTTCATACACACTTAAACTTTTTACATAATTTAATACGAAAGCAATTTTTTACATAATATAAAACAATGTTGTTTTCAAATTATTTTCCAGTTCATGTATCTAACAACCATAAATACGCTTTTATTATAATCGATTGTTAAAAAATTAATATTCATATTGTTAATTATTGAAATAATATTTTTTTCATTTAATTCAGATACATCGTTATTATTTATTATTTGAAGTAATTAGGTCGATTAGCAAAGCCAAAAATAAAAATGAATTTAGAATACTCCTTGAAATAAAGATTTACTTACAAGCGTGTTTTGTACATTTGCAAAGAAAATAAAAACGAATCAACTCCTATATTAATATTTAAAAATTAAGCGTGTCACAAGGTTATTCCTTCAAATATTTGTCTATATATGTGTTTTGTACATAAGTTATATTTGTAAGCTCTCAACCATCATGAGTTATAATGAAATAAATAACAAAATTTAATCCTTCTAATAGCACATAATTAACCTATATGAGGTACAAGATTTATTCTCATAAATTCTTATAAATTATACATTTTAGTTTTATTTCTTTTGGGGTTATTGACATCCACATCAATGTTATAATAACACTCCCTGTCCATTAAGATGATGTTCATCGAATCATGTTAAATCAATACTAGGAAAAAATCCTAATGAAAGGAAAATAGTATACATATATCCAAAAAAAGAAAAAAAAAATGGTATACATTTTTAGTAATACGTGAAGTTTCCTCATTAAAAACCTTATCATAAAACCAAATGGAACAAAATCTTGGTTAAAGAAAAAAGAGTTCATGTAGTACATATTTTATTTCTCTTAATGATAATATCATTTAATATGTCATCCCAATCTTATATACCGATTTCTCAAAACATGAAGTAAGCAATGCCTTAGTAAATAAATATGCTAAAATATAACTGGATGAATTTGTTGAATGCCACAAAATAATTGAGCTTCCACTTGTGAATAAATATCTTGTTCGAATCCAGCTTTGTATGGATCGTATAAATATCCTTCATTATTATAGTGTGTTCATGTTGGAGAAGGATTGAATCTTGTTAATAGACTTATAAATAGGGAGGAGAAAAATGTAAGAATAAGATGGATAAGATTAAAGGTTAGAAAATGAAGGATCCACTTATAAATAAGCATTTAATGATACTACTTCAAAAAAAATTAAGATTAGAAAATCCATTAGGACAAAAATCGGATAAAATAAAAAAGAATACATGTAATCTTTCATAATATATCCCTTTAATTGAGTCGTATAACTAATTAATTTTTTCATCATATTATACATTAATGTCCCAATTGAATTAAAATATGACACTTCAGAATCAAGAAATTTTTCATTATTTTCATGGGATCAAAATTGATCTTTATTTATGTCAAGCGATCTCACAACCATTGGGGTACTCAATGAATGCGCTTTATCCATGTAAAATCACTTTAAAATTTTCTTTGTATAAGTTAATTGATGAATAAATATTCTATTAAGGTGATTGTAGCATATCCCCCTCCCCCCCCCCCCAATTGCTTCAATTTGTTTTTTGAGAATTTTTGTGTCTTTCAGGAATTTTGAATCATTAGAAGATTTTCACATAAATTTCACTATCTAGTAAGTCATAAAAATAAACGGTAACAACACTCATTAGATGCATGTCAAGTTTTTCAAGTATTGTCGGATTAATAAGATATCTAAAGGTGATTACACCAACCACAAAAGAATATGTTTCCATATAATCAATGCCAAGCTTTTACAAAAATCATTGTGCTATATCTTACAACTTCATTTTTCTCTTTATGTTTTCGCACAAAAGCTCATTTGCTCCTCACTAACTCTTTTTTTGTTTGAGTGAACTCAGGGGTCCCTATCACGTAGAATGAGACTAATCCCTTCGTGGCTTGGAGCGAAAAGATTTTTACCGCTGGCCCCAAAGTGCTTCTCGCAAGAATTGAACCCATGACTTCATTAGCCACTAGAGTCCAACCCTTGAGCTGCAGTCCGCTTACCAACTGAGCTACATCTTGGGATTTGTACCTCACTAACTTTACACCTTCGTATGTTTGGACTATAGGTCCAAAATCTTTGTGTTTTCAAGTGAATTCAATTATGCTTGAATTCCATCTTTCTATTTTGGTTAATCATTTCTCCATTTACATTCATCAACATATCCATGTTCATGATTCTCGTCTTGATTCATTATTTCAACAAACATTATATGCAAAAATATTATCGACAACTCTACATTTTTGGTTTCATATTTTTCCTATAGTGACATAAATAATCGAGATATCTTTATTTTTATTATTTTCAGATACTTGAACCTCCCTTGAGATTTTATGAAAGTTATATCTTTGGAATTTTCACGAGCAATTGTCTCCATGTTATGACCATCTTTATCATTTGCCCATTTTTTTTTTTTGAGGATTTTCCCCCCCTTGGAATCGATTGGTCTTCCATGTTTTCTGTGTGATTTAGTTTCACTTTCTCTAATAGATTGTCTTACTAGAGCATTAGT